TATTAAATATAACAAAAATGAAACAATAATTATTTAAATGAAAGCTAAAAATGTATGTTGTAATTATATTAAAAACAATCTTACCTAATATCAATAAACTAGAAACCAGACACAAGCAAAAGTAAGTCATTTTCTGAATAAAACTGAACCATCAAAGAAGGAGGACGTTTGAAGTATCGAAATGAGATATTTTATTGATACTTCAATTATTTGGTCAATTTAAAGCGCTGGCACGCATCAGTGGATTCAATTATTTGTTTTCTTGCATAATTATATTTGATTTAATTAAATTTTTGATCAATCTATTAGTATTGTCTAATTAATTTTGATTTAAATCCAGAATAGAAACAATTTCTCTCTTTAACTGACACACCAATCTATCTTTATATTGTTACTGTAGTGTGGCGGCAATGTCAGAGTATCAACTACGCTATATTGTCCCGGAGTGTCGTAGCAGGCGACAGAGGGAAACAAACCGTTTGCGTACCCGCCTGCCAACCGTTCCAACTACGGGGATACCCCTATGAGGCATTCTACGCGGAGGCCTATGTGTGGCAGTATTCTGGAATATTTTATTTTAATTTATTTTATGAATTACTATATTTACAGGACTAAACTAAACATGTATAGAATGTAATAATATGACAGACCAATTCTTGAACATAAACTAATTAACAATTGGGGCTCTTTAAAACCCAAAATATTACTATGGTTACTTTTTTTGAATAAAACTAAACTAAATAATGCTATATGTATACAATATTTATAAAAATATTTTTACGTGGTAGAGCCATGCTGCAGTTATATTGTGGTTGCAGCACGAATAGGTCGGCACGACCAGAGTCGGACCACGCTCTCACAGAATACCAACGTGAAATAGCGGCTTAATGCTGCTGTGTTTCGTATGGTGAGTGTAGAGCACCGGAGACCCATTTTACTGGAAACGAGGCATTCAATCTCGGTCCTCAGGGATAACAACGCATCTGCATTGTGATTCTTAATTGAGGATAAATGTGAATGTCTATGGGCCACAGTATCCACTTACCATCTCTCTGGACTATGTGCTCGTTTGTCACCCCTATTTTATATTAAAAAAAAACTAAAAATAAACGCCCTATTTCAAGGGACTAAAGTTATACCGTTGGGTCTTCTGCCATCGCGTTTAAATATTATACAATACCTCTAAAAGCGAGGAATAATTATATATGGAGATAAAAACTCTTCGGACAACATCGTTTCGAGAACCGTGACGGGACAACCTTCTACCACTTCTCTTACTTAAAAGTCTATGGAACCCAAGTTCGGCAATACCACTACCACATGGTCAAGGTTACGATAAGGTTAACAGATCACTGCTCCTAAATGGATTTCTAAGATTGTTGTTCCTGTCAAGTTATGTTCAGAGATTACTTTATGGTAAAGCCTGTTATGAGTAACTTGATTCCTTAGTCGAAACAACCAGAATACGGGCTTGATCGTGGTTATTATTTTCTAGTATACATATATAATAACTAGCTTTTTACCCACGGCTTCGTTAGAATGATTTTCAATTTAGGAACACCATCACTACTTCAAACAACTAAACTGCACTAAAATTAGCAAATTGGATCACTTATTGAGTCACCTGTGGTATCTATCTCTATGTCTGTCTCTCACAGGAATTTTCTCAGAGTTTAAATAAAACTGGTTTTTAAGGAATTTATCTATGTAGCCAATCTTGTCAGTGACACCTCTGACATATGGCAGTACAGCAGGCACTCGCTCGACCGTGGCCAGCATCACTGGTTCACTGTGACGTAGGCGCGGGACCCGAAGCTTATTCTTGTGCAAAACTTGCCGTTATATATCACATTGGAACGTCATACATCTCAGTCCCCACCCCCGTGTTCATGGGTGCTGTAAAGTACTCGAAACGCTGGGAATATAAAATTATTTAACAATGTAACACTACATAGCAATAAAAAATAAGAGGTTGCACAAATGCATTGCTTATTTCATATTGAAATTTCTTCCAGCAGGCTCGATACCGGACAGTTCAAAGAGAAGTAGATTTATTGTCCAATCTTACAAGTATGATAATTATTTTATTTTAAATATATACACAATATCATACACAGATAATAAACACGTATACAAACATTCATACATATTTATTCCTCCATACTCTGCAAGATTATGGAGCGTATATTGAACGCCCGCTTAATGGCATGCCTAGAACAGAATGACCTCCTTAGTGACAAGCAATATGGGTTTCGCCGAAATCAGTCAGCTGGGGACCTTCTAGCGTATGCCACACACGTATGGGGCGAGGCATTCGAGAGCAGTGGGGAAACACTTGCTGTTTCCCTTGATGTCTCGAAGGCTTTTGACAGAGTTTGGCACACTAGCCTTTTGGGTAAGCTTCCAACGTACGGATAATCCCCTGGTCTGATTGAATAGGTAAAAGACTTTCTGATTGAACGGTCTCTCCGGGTCGTCGTCGATGGCTGCTCATCCGATTTTATGGCGACTAACGCCGGTGGGTCCGTTCTCTCCGCAACTCTTTTCCTGCTGCATATTAATGATCTGCTTATGCCCGGTATCTATGGGTATGCAGACGATAGCACAGTCGTGGAGAGATACCAACCAAGTCCTCGGGATCAAATCCAGTCCGAAAGAGAAGCTATGGTAGACTGTGTTAATCTCACACTGCAGGTAATCTCCAAATGAGGCGATGCCAATCTTGTGAAATTCAACGCTTCAAAAATACAAGAATGTCTCTTCAGTGCAAAAAGGAGCTAGCTCACCTTGGCTCCTTCTTTCTGAAATGTATCACTGGAATATACCGACCACCTTCAGTTGTTAGAGTTTGAGATATCCTCAAATGTGAATTTCGGGCGGTTCATTGAGTTCAAGGCCAAATCAGCTGCAAGGAAGTTGGGAGTCCTTGCAAAGGTGCGGTGATACTTCACGCCGGGAAATCTGCTTACTTAATATAAAGCGCAAGTCCGGTCGTGCATGGAGTATTGCTGCCATATATGAGCTGGTGCTGCAAAATAGCACCTAGCAGCTTTGGACTCAAAGGAAAGGCGTGCTAAGAGGCTTATTGGTGACCCGAATTTGGTTAAAACCAATCTTACCAGCCTCGAACATAGACGCAAAGTAGCCAGCTTTTCGGTTTTCTACAGGATGCATTTCGGAGAGTGTGCGCAGGAATTGCATAATTTAATTCCTCCCTCTCCATTCCAGCATCGGACAACCAGACGTTCGGCCAGTCTCCAGCCTTTCGTTGTCGACTCATACAACAACATAAAAAGAAATAGAAAAGTAAGTGTTTGACAAGAGAAATCTTGTTGATAAGAGCAGAAAACTTTAAAGGCGTTTTAATTTTTGTCACTGCTAATTTATGTGATGTATGTTTTCGATATCAGCTTACAATCCATGACGATAACTAATTTCTTAGCAGTTTCTGAAATGTTTGAGTACCACAAATTTACAGTGCTTGGAGAGGAGAAAAATCGAGTAAGTTATCAGTAAATCTGGTGCATTCAATCATTTCTTGTAAATTTTTAGGGTTTAAAACGAGTCCAAGTAATCTAGAAAATTCACAGATTTTATTTCGATCTTTACTCATTTCACACGTTGCTGAATTTGCTTCAGTAATGACGATATAGCTGCAAATCGTCTGCATCGAGACGGAAATAGATATCACCTTAGTGTTACGTCAATAAATACGGAAAAGAAGGGAGAAAAAACCTTAAGGTACACCCATATTTAGGTTGCACCTCTAAGATAAGGTTTCGTTTGCACGAACATATTGAGAATGGCTACAAAGGAATTAATCAAATTATTAGAACCGAAGTAGAAGAAGATATATTAATAATAATAATGTCAAAATCTATAGAATGAAGGCACTACTAAAAGCACCACAAGTACCGTTAAGTATTTTTCGTCCATACCCCACTGGATATCCGTAAACCAGGCCTAAAACCTTACCTTACTTAAGATCAATTACGGTTAAAAAACTTAGTGAACTTTGTGTAAACAAATATGTTCAAGCACCTTTATAAGAAATTGCAGGATGCCGACAATAAGTTGTAGTTGAAGGATTCGAAACACTAGGAAAACAACAAGAGAAATGAAAGATGTAGTAAGAATGGGGGTGAGAAAGGAAAGAATCAACGTAATCAACTTCTTCTAATCAGCAGATGTCATTTTAAATGCATTCAAAGTAGATGTAGAGTAGATGACATTGTAAGGACGGATCGTTCAGTATTATATTCAGTAAAAGAAGTGAAATTAAACGGAGAAAAATGTGACATTGCGCATTTGAACAGTTCGAGAAGGGATATAGCTTTAACAAATATTGAAACTGTGGCAGGAGGGCTGGTAAAATGTTTGTGAAGAACATCTAAGATAATTTATTTTTCCACAACACACTCTTTAGTGTTATCCAACTATGAAGTTAAAATTCTAAAATTGTAATTTTATATCGCTTAGTGTTATGTTAGTGTAGAGAATCGTTGAGAACCGGTTTTACTGGTAACAATGCTTTTCCATTTTAGTCTTTAGGGTTGTCGGTTGTTGACGTTGCTACATATCTTATACTCTTATGAAAATTAATGGGCCACAGCATCCATTTTACACCAGGACAGTGTGCTTTTAGCATTTCGTTTAGTAACATTCACCCACACAAGACGCAATAGGGTTAAAAAAATTGTGTGTGTTTTTTTTTAAATTTATAATTATAGAATATTAGCTGATACCCGCTCGCTTCGCTGGGCGTACTATAATAGACGATAATAATGTAGATATAAAATACCTACGTTATTATTATTCTTAGTGAGCGTCTACATTGAGAAATAAGTAACTATACCAAATTTCAAGTCAATCGGGTGGATAATTTTAGAGATATCGTGATGAGTCAGTCAATCAGTCAGTGGTATTTCGCTTATATATACAAATTAAAACCCACGTTCTACTAATACTCAATGTTCTTTATTAAAAGCCTTTTATAAACATTATAATTTCGTTTTATTCGTCGTTGACAGCATTGAACTATTATGCGATCGCAGTATAAAACCTTTGTCAGCGAATATTTTGTCATTCGTGTCCTGTTCTTGCACTCGAAAGACGATTTGAGGTTGCGTCGCGTTGGATTTTGCTTCTTCCAATTCATTTTTTGCTGGACTGAAACCAATCGCAACAATACACATCACATCACCACCCATTGTTTTACGATTACCATTGACCACTGTTGCATATATTCCTTTCCAGGAATGCTTGTTATTTAGCACCCAGTATTTCTTGCGTCTAAGAGGAAATACTAATTTAATAAAACTAGGAAATACTAATGTAATAAAAACAACAGTAAAGATAGATCCTACAAATACGAGTATATGCGACCCACAGCGAGGCACAGGCCCCTTCTCCCTTATAAGGGGGTTGCGTGGGGTGTCGAATATATTTCACTTCTTCAGACACAAATACCTCCTTACGATGATATCTTTAACCTCCTAGCACATAGTATGATCAGGACTTAAATTTGCAAATGTTAATTTAATTGCTGCCAGCAGACAAACTGGGGATGATCGCAATTGGGTTGTACCATGTCTCTGAATTATAATATAACCTCGTAAAACACGAAACGGATAAGAAAGTTAAATATCTAGACCTGGATCATGAGATGACCGACATAAATATATATATGGAGTAGTATATGTCGACCGAAATTATACATATAGTCGTTATTGCAAACGGATTAATCTCGATCAGCCTCTCGGGTAATCTGAGGTTACTACGACTCCGTGACGTACCGGTCCGCGCTCTAATTCAGAAAGCGGTGCTCCTTGAAGCTGTCCGTATCGCCCGCCTGTTTATATCCTTTTCCCACTAAACCTCGGTCGTTTGATTTCCCCTGTGGAAGGCTGCCGTTCGGTTGGGTTTATTTATTTATATAACTTTATTTTTTAATTGCTTTAATTGTATAAATTATAATATTTGTTCTTATTGTATATATTTATACATATATTTTTAAGTAGATGTTTATTAATCCCTACCAAACGGAACACATTATTAGTAATAATTGCATATCGGTAGAATTGAAATAGTGTTCCCCAACCAGTCCAGCCTGTACCGTGAGAATAAGTAAGTTTGTGGCCACCAGCGTCCTCTTATTAGTCTGTGGTGGTCACTAAAGAAAGCAAATTATGCTATTAGATATTTTGATACCTATCTGTAAGATATAATATGTTAGATATAAATTGTTAATACGTCGGGGTAGGTACCAACATTTTACCTATCTTTTTTTTTTTTTTTTAGGATAAGGGTGACAAACGAGCACACAGTTCACCTGATGGTAAGTGGTTGCTGCGGCCCATAGACATCTACATCTATCCTCGTTTGCTAATCAAAATGCAGATGCGTTGTCACCCGTGAGGACTAAGATGGAATGCCTCATTTCCAGTAAAAAGGGCCTCCGGCCACCTGCACTCACCAAACGAAACGCAGAGGTAAACCTCTACTTCACGCTGGTATTCTGTGAGGTCGTGGTACCACCCCGGTTCGAGCCGGCCCATCCGTGCGACAGCAAAACCTATCTCTTTCGGCAAATAGCAGTACTAGTGCATTGCTGTGTTTCAGTCCGCAGGGTAAAGATAGCCGGGGTGCGAAGTCAGAAGTCCTCCACGTGTGCCTGGTAGTTGCGGGTCCCTCTCGATACGTCTGGAGGGAAGAGCAGATACTGGGCCGGTGCACCCTGGGCGCAGCAGTAGTCTTCCTCGAGAAATGAGAAGAAATTCTTACTCCTTGGGGAATGGTACTGCCGCGGCTAATTATTCTGACATGGGGGGGGGGGGGGTCCGTCCCGGACCAACGGTGCGTTCCACTGCGTGACCCTCTGATCAGCAGAGGGCATAGCAGAGGAGTGAGGGCGGGCTCGGTGTGCACTTACCCTGCCTCCGGGCAGACAGTGAAGGATTCATCCTTTGCTGTCACCGCCAGTCTCGTAATCCCAGTATCGAAGTGTCGTGGATCACGTCTCGCGGCTTTGATAGGGACCGAGGGTCTTGGCTTAACCGCCCGGACCGCGAGGGAGAAAACCTCTATAAAAAGTTACCCCGAATCTCAAGCGGCGACGCACCGCGAGGGGATGGATGGCTGACGGGGTTCTATGAACAAATCAGTCGTTAGTGCGCTCCTCGCCAGGGTACCTGCAGACCACCTGGCGAGTAATAAATCCTCTAAATCTGCTTACCTTGGTAAGGGGTCTCTGCCAAGGTGGACTTTTAATTCCCCCATACTCGTGGGTACAAAAAATGGAAACCAAACAAAAAACACAAAAAACCAAAACCGCCGGCAACGGCAACGTAGAGGAGAGGAGAAACGATGCGGGGACAGAGTCCGACGCCGCATCGAGCAGCGAGGGAGGCTCAGAGAGCTCCCGACAAGTGGAGCCTGGGACCGCGGAGACCAGCAAGTTCTTCCGCAAGCGGTCCAGGCGGGATGGCGACCAGGGGTCGGCATCCGGTGAAGAGGAGGTTTCGGCCCGGAAAATCCCCACCAACAGGCGGGGCGGGCTGAGAGGCAAGGGTCCCTCCCCTTTCTACCTTTCTATCATTCTACCAAGGCTCTCTACCATTCAGAGGGCCGAACGAGCGGCAAAGCTTGCCGAGGAGGGGCGCCACCCGGACGATACGGTTCGGGAATCAGGCGAAGAAACAGACGCGACTGGCGGCTCCGAGGTGGAGCGTAAGGCCAGATTCGTAAAGGAGGTGGAGGCCGTGATCAAGGTCGTGGCCAACAAGCAAAAGTCCTCCTCGAAAGTCAAGGCCATTCCCGCGGCCTCCGCCTCCATCATGGCGGCTGCGGAGGCCAACTTTGCTGGGGCTGGGCCTAATGCGGACGAGGTGGCGAAGCTGCGGACGGAAGTGGCCCGCCTGACGTCCGCCATGGAGACTCTCCAGAAGGAGAATGAGAAGCTCCGCGCAGACCTGGCCAGTCTACATGAGCCTGCCTCTCGCGCGGCGCCCCAGACGCAGCGCCCAAGCCAGCCCGTGCCGGTGGAGAACCAGGTTCTGAACCTGGTCCGGCAGGAGCTGGCTGCCTTCCAGCACCGGTTCTCCGTGCTGGAGGGCATCGTCCTGCGCCCCCCCCTAGGGGCAAACAAGACGGCGGCGAGGCCGGCAACGGCTTCTTACGCGACGGTCACGGCTGCCGCATCCAGGCCGGGGCCGTCCAGCCAGCCCTCGGGTGGGGCTGCAGTTGCCCCTCCCCCCCTGAAAAGCCGGCTCCAGCAAAACTGAAACCGGCTGAACCGGCTCCGACTAAGTCGGCGACGGGAAAGAGAGGCAAGGCGAAGGCGAAAAAGGGCAAGGCGGCAGCACAGGTGATGGCTGCGCCAGCCCCAGTGCCTGCGGCGAATGGGCCAGCGCCAGCGGCAAGCCAGCTGCCGCCGCCGCCACCGCCCCCCCAGCTCCCTACACCTCCCGCGGCAGAAGCCGGTTGACAGGTGGTCGGGGACAAACAGAAGGGGAAGAAGGCAGCCAAAAAGGCCAAAGAGCAGGAGCAGCAGCGCCAGTTCAGGGCGCGCAAGATCGCGGCTAGGCTCCGCGCCCCGAAGACCGCAGCTGTAGTGATTACACTACAGCCGGACGCGGAAAAGAAGGGCGTTACCTACTGCGATCTGCTCGCGAAGGCGAAAGAGGCGGTGGATCTCGGGGAGCTCGGGATCACTGGGGGCCTCCGGCTCAAAGTCACCCAGACGGGGGCCCGTATGCTGGAGATCCCCGGAGAATCCAGTGGCGCGACTGCGGACGCTCTGGCTGCGAAGCTCAGAGCGTCCCTGAACGCGGACGAGGCCCGAGTGTCCAGGCCCGTCAGATGCGCAGACCTGCGCATCATGGGTCTGGACGACTCGGTATCGGAGGAGGAGTTGGTGGCCGCCGTCGCCAGGTCCGGGGGGTGCACTACTGACCAGGTCAGGTCAGGCGCCATACGCCCGGATCAACAGGGTATGCATGCCGCCACGGTGTGCTGCCCTGTTACGGCGGCCAAAACCATAGTGGAGGGCCGAAGGATTCTGGTGGGCTGGGTCTCAGCGCAGGTTAAGCTGCTGGAGCCCAGACCTCTGAGGTGCTACCGCTGTCTCGTGGGGCATCACGTGTCAGTGAAATGCGCCTCGGAGGTTGACCGCAGTGGCCTCTGCTTCCGCTGCTGTCAGCCCGGACACATATCGGCGACCTGCTGCGCCACGCCGCACTGTGATGCATGTGCGGCGACCGGCAAGCCAGCCGATCACTGGGCCGGAAGCAGGGCCTGCGTATCACCCGCCAAGGCCAAGGCCGCGGGTAGGAGAGGGCCCTCCTCCGCCGCCACCGCCTCTATGGCCACCGCCGCAGCTGCAACTGCCGCCGCCGCCACTGTCACTGTCGCCGCCGCCGCCGCCGCGACACCGACGCCTGCAGAGGGGCGCCCCGTGGAGGAAGCTGAAATGGAATGCCTATAACGGCCCCATTAAGCTTCCTCCAGGCGAATATCAACCACTGCGCCTGCGCTCAGGATCTGTTGCTCCAGAGCATGGCGCAGTGGTCGATTAACATCGCTGTGGTCGCTGAGCCGTATTTTGTCTGGCCTAGGAAGGACTGGGTGGCGGACCTTAACGGCTCAGTGGCCATCATTTCTTCGGCCGCCGCCGGTACCCCGACTCTTGAAGGTGTCAGGAGGGGTCAGGGGTGCGTAGCAGCACGGTTCGGGGAGTTCGTAGTTGTGGGGGTGTACTTCTCCCCGAACCGATCTCTCGCCGAGCTCCACAACTCTCTTGCAGAGCTGAGAGCAGTCGTCGTCGGAAGCTATCCCCTCCCCGTGCTTGTCCTCGGGGACTTCAATGCCAAGAACTTGGCTTGGGGTTCTCGTCGTACAGATGTGCGGGGTAGGATGGTGGAAGACTGGGCTCTGGAGACAGGCCTGGTCGTCCTAAATCGGGGTTCTGTCCCCACGTGTGTGCGGATGCGGTGCGAGTCGGTAGTGGACATTTCGTTCGCTAGCCCCGCTCTGTCACCGCGTGCCATTGACTGGCGAGTCATGGAGGGGGTGGAGACCTACTCCGACCACCGGTACATCCGGTTTGACGTCTCCACCCAGCCCTCGAGCGCGCCAGTCCAACAGGCCCCGAGTGGTCCGCGTTGGGCGCTGAAGCAGCTGGACCGGGAGCTCCTCCTGGAAGCCTCGATCGTGCAGGCCTGGGTGTCATCACCGGATAGGCCTGCCGACGTGATGATGAGGCAGGGTGGTTCCAGGAGGCCATGTCCGAGATATGTGACGTGGCAATGCCCCGCCTCCGGCCAGGAAGCGCCCGGCGTCAGGTGTATTGGTGGTCGCGTGAGCTGACGTCTCTGCGCGAGGCGTGTGTCGCCGCGCGGCACCTGTACGCCAGGCATCGCAGGCTCCGCATTCGTCCACCGAATGCGGCAGCCATTGAGGCGGAGCTGTACGAGGGATACAGAGCGGCGAAGACCGCCCTCCGGGAGGCTATCATGCGGGCCCGGGATCGGGCCCGTGAGGAGATGCTGGAGACTCTCGACAGAGATCCGTGGGGGCGCCCTTACAAGATGGTGCGGGATAAAGTCCGCACCTGGGCCCCCCCGCTGACGCAGAGTCTCCGGCCTCAGCTCGTGGAGGACGTGGTGAGCGCTCTGTTTCCTGCGCGAGGGGAACATCCGCCCCCGCCTATGGCTCCCCCACCTGCGGTGCCGGAAGCGGACCACCAGGACGACGACGACGGCATCCCGGAAGGGACCGGGGTAGACCTGAGAGTGGCGGTACGTAGGCTCAAGGCCAGGAATACCGCCCCAGGACCCGATGGCTTGCCTGGCAAAGCCTGGGTCCTGGCCTCGGAGGCTCTCGGGCCCCGACTGGAGGGGCTCCTAAGCGCATGCTTGGAGAGAGGCCAATTCCCGCTTCGTTGGAAGACGGGGAAGCTGGTCCTCATTCGGAAGCCGGGGCGCCCTGCGGACTCTCCGTCCGCATACCGGCCCGTGGTGCTGCTCGACGAGGTGGGCAAGCTCTTTGAAAGAGTCATTGCAAACCGCCTCGCCGAGCACCTTGCGGGGACGGGGCCGGATCTTGCGGAACACCAGTTTGGTTTCCGCAAGAGGCGCTCTACGGTGGACGCCATCATGCGCGTGAGAGCCCTCACGACGGGGGATGCAGTGGCCAGGGGGGGGGGTTGTTTTGGCGGTGTCTCTCGACATCGCCAACGCCTTCAACTCCATGCCCTGGAGCTGCATTAGGGAGGCACTCCGGTATCACCGGGTGCCGACCTATCTCCGTCGTATAGTCGGGGACTATCTGACGGATAGGGCCGTCATTTACCCCGGTCGCAACGGTGAGTGGAACCGGCGAGAGATGTCGTGCGGTGTCCCACAAGGTTCGGTTCTGGGGCCACCCCTGTGGAACATCGGTTACGACTGGGTGCTGCGCGCCGACCTCCCTACCGGCGTCAGCGTAGTTTGCTACGCTGACGCCGGTATTTGCCGGTATCTTGCCGGATTGCCGCCATGGGATCTGGAGGCGATAGCCCTCGCGGGCCTACACGAATGGCGCGCGGAGGCACTATGCCGGGGGGAAACCCCGCTGCCGCGGCAAGTTGTCGTGCAGCGGACAGACTTCCGGCATGATCTCATGGCGACATGGAGAGAGCGACTGTCGCAACCCCGTGCTGGGCACGCCACTATAGCGGCGATAAGACCCCTCTTTGAGGAGTGGCTTGAGAGACGCCACGGCGTCCTCACCTTCCGCCTGACGCAGGTCCTCACCGGACACGGTGTGTTCGGGAGGTTCCTGCACCGAATCGGGCGGGAGGAAACGCCCGGGTGCTCCCACTGCGAGGATCGACCGGAGGACACGGTGGAGCACACCGTGGAGGTGTGCCCTGCCTGGGCGGAGCACCGCCGTGTCCTCGTAGCGGCGATAGGCGGCGGTGACCTCTCGCGTCCGGCCCTGGTCGAAGCCATGGTACGGAGCGAGACGGAATGGGATGCCGTCACCACCTTCTGCGAAGCAGTGATGCTAGCGAAGGAGGTGGCGGAGCGGGAGAAGGAGAGAGCAGCAGCTTTCCTTCCCGGCCGCCGCGGGAGACGCCCCGGGCGTCGGGGGCTACGTCGTGGCCACCGGCCACCGTAGGCGCGGGCCTGTGGACGGCGAGCAATGGGTAGCTCGCCGTCCGTCCGTCTAACGACGACAGGCCGTGTCGACGGCGCGTTTTGTTCCACGCGCGCCTCAAAGAGCTGTCAGCAGCGTGAAGGGGCCCGCAAGGGCCGACGCCTGCCGGGGCTGCGGGCTGTTCGAAAGAGATACCGCGGCTCCGGAACGTAAGGGCACTGAAGGAACACGGATGGTTTTTAGTCAGTAAAAGTCTGACACTCCCTTCCGCTCCAGCCAGAGCGAAAGGCGTCATTTGATGATTTTCCATCCGCAAAAAAAAAAAAAAAAAGGTAAAGATAGCCAGTATAATTGCAGCCTGTGAGACATTCCATTTTATTCTTGAAGACATGACAACATGATGACAGCACGATGAGGACAGCATGACAACGTATATATAGCCCTTTTTGTATGAAGTCGGTGGGCACATAAGAGGTATTGATAAAAAAATTACCCATCAGGATGATTCTTCCATGAAATAATTTTTTCTTCGTGTGTCACTCCAGATCTAAATTGGCGTCGGCATTTCTCTCTGAAAATAAAAATATTATCTGTGTATTGGCCTGTATTGTTCACAGGCTTACATGTGAAATTGTAAATTGTAACTTTAACCACTTAAGGGTCATTTGCAAACTAAAAAATATCGTGGATAAAAGAAGTACGGCAGCAGGCGCTGCGCGACACGCTCTCCTTTATTTTAAAAGCCTCCCAGAAATGAGAGCAGGAATGTGCTTAACAGCAGGACGTGTTATAGCCTGTAACTGTAAATTTTAATAACTCTATAATAACTTATATCATGATATTTGTATTCAATATTAGTTAGTAAAAAAAAGTTGCTAATATTATGAGACTGAGAGATTTTAATATATCTTTAGGCCAATCCGCCTTCTAGCATATAAATAACGGGAAAGGTTTATCTTCAGCACTGGATTTTCACTGGATTTTCAGGATGGCTTGATGACAAGGGCGTCGCCGGCCGACGGCTCAGGGGGGAGGGGGCAAGTTGATATATATGGGATGGAAAAGAGTAGGTACAAGAGAACATGAAGGTTTACACTATAATTTACGAGTCTTACTCCTACGGCGATTGTAATAAGAACGGTACGAATTCCAATGTGTAAACCTCTACAAGCTCTTGACTGTACGAGGAGCGGAGTCCCCATACAGCTGACATTTCTTGAAAAATGGTTTAAGCTGTCTTTCCTTGTCTGGTAAAAAATTTAATGACAGCGCGATATTTAATTTTCTCCATAGTTGCTAGTTTCTTCCCGACTGACTTGTTTACTCGTAGATAATCTAACTTAAAGCTAATGACCCGATCTGGTTTCTGTGATGTTAATGCTGTTAGCCTATGCGGTTCTTACAGCTTCATTGAACGCTAATGACCCGATTAGACTAAAACTTGATATATACTAACAATGAGTCACTCAACCTGGATGAGTAAACTCACCCTCGCCAACCCCACCCTTCCTCGAACATTTTGACCTCCCCTCGTATAATAAGTAAGAATGGTTGATTTGCATTTGACTGGATTTTTAGTCTCAGGGGGGATCTATCCGTCCCAGCCCTCCTCTTGGCGACGCCCTTGCTTGATGAAGAAGAAGAGAAAGAATGATATTTAATCTTTATCCACCCGAAAACCGTTTCGGACAAGTTAGTTATACCAGTTACTCGACTTTTAAGAGTTCCTTCATGGCGCAATGTTTACCTATGCTTTTACAACAAAGTCCCAGAAAATATGTAGACCTTATCTATCAAAAGGTTTAAAATTTTATTAAGCAAAAATTGTTAGGAAGCCTTATTATATCTACTACTAAAGAGTACATGATCGATAATAACCCCTGAGAATGAGGGGTTATTATCGATCGAATGAATTATGCTATTTAAAAAAAGTGTCTCTGGGTTTCTTACTAGTTCTTACTAGGACAAAGGATTTTTTCCAAAAAGTGGTAAAGATATTTTTTTATTAGATAAGGGTGACAAACGAGCACACATTGCACCTGATGGTACTGTGAAATGGTTGCTGTGAAGTGGTTGCTGTAGTCTATAGACATGTACATCTATCTTCGATTACGAATCGAAATGCAGATGCGTTGTCAGCCGCGAGGACTAAGTTTCCGGTAAAAAAGGTCTCCGGTTCTCTCTTATTAGTTACACTCACAATGCGAAACACAGAGGCGTTCAGCTGCTATTTTACGCTGGTATTCTATGAGAGTGTGGTCCTACCTCGGTCGAGCCGACCCATTTCTACTACAACCATACTACTAATATAGTTGCAGCATGGCTCTACTACGTTTAAATTTACTTTAATTAAAACACAATGTACAATAATCAATTAAAATAATAACTTACTGTACGTTTTTGTATATGGCGCAAGAAACGAACTGCCGGTTTTTGTAGACACTGGTATAAAGAAAGGGTCCATAACATTTGTTAGATCTCTCTTTGACAAGACAGGCTGAGATCACACCAATCACAATTGCGTTGACTCCAGTTCCGTATACCATGGGACCGCCGTGATCATTCTGTGAACAAAATGTCAGTTATTTTGATAAGCGATATTTTGAGAGATTCTTAAAAACTGTTTAAAATTGCAGTTGTTATAAAGAACCTATGAAACATAAATTATTAAGAAATTTAATAAACGGCATCTTAATGTCTAAAGGTAACCGGCTTGCAACATACGTGGTAGAACCACGCCGCAGCTATATTATGGTTGTAGCACGAATGGATCGGCGCAACCGGGGAGGGCTCACGATCTCAAAGAATAACAGCGTAAAATAGCAGTTTAATGCTGCTGTGTTTAGTATGGTGAGTATAGGTGACCGGAGACCCTTTTTACTGGAAACGACGCATTCCATCTTGGTCCTCAGGGATGACAACGCATCTGCATTTTGATTCTTAATCAAGGACAAATGTGGATGTCTATGGTCATAGCATGTCTATATCATCAGGTGGACCGTGTGCTTGTTTTCCACCCTTATTCATCAAAAAAAACCAGCACGGGGTAGTGTCCTACGGGATCTGGCGATCATTGGATTGTTATGGTGGAATTTTACGCAGGAAATTGACCGCCATTGTATGGTCCTTTATAATATACCATATATTGTATATAAAAAATGAAAGCCCCGACTTCGGAATGTGTTACCTTAACTTGATCCCCTATTTTTCCCACCCAAGCTTATATGCCTCCCCTGCCCACTCCACGGAGTCAAACGTATTTAATTAAAAAAAAAGAATTGTGAAAATTGTTCACAATTAACAAAGATATCGTGTAGCAAAATTATAAAGCTTCTACTTTTTGAGAACTTGAAGTAAAAGTGGTGCAATCTTGTGTATTAAATGTCTGCGAATTAAAACGCTGTTATAGAAATATCTCCCCTATGAGGTAATCTGTGTTCAACTGTGCACTATTGCCTGGTTCTAATGATAATGGTAACAAAAAGGAATTCTAACCTCACAAAATCCACCACTAGCTTGAACAGCTTGGCGTCGTTCTGTTCCACTAGACTCGTTATGGTGTCCCGAATGCATCACAAGATTCGATGGGACTCTCACAGGCCTCGATACATGGACTTCTCTTCGGGCATCTTCTTCATCTTCATCTGAGTAATTTATATCTTGACATTCTACGTACTTCTCCTTAAATAAAACATGATGTCAAATGTTAAATTTCAATAAGAAGAGATACATAGCAAACACGTTTGTCGAACACCCTTTGATCGGTGCACAAAAACCGACACCAACGCCGAACACTGGCATTCACATACAAACAAAAAGGCAAACAACCATCCACACGTTCGTGATTGCTGTTTGGTGTATGCTGTTCGCCGTTGTTTGGCAAGCGTGTGGATGAGGCATGATATTTCTTAGTCCACTCTATTCTTGGGGATTTAATGCTTCTATAAAAGATGTCAAGAATGTTTTAATAAGGGTCTATAAAGTTTCCTTTTGGATATACATAGACTTATCATTACGGAGAGGCTAACGGAATGAGACAATTCTACCGCGTTGCTCCAGTGCGTTATCAGACATCACATCATTGCGATTTACTACAAACAAGGCATACCATTTCAGTCCTCAGGGGTCAATGTATCTGCATTTTGATTTTTAATTGAGGATAGATACAGAGGCGTATTGAAAGCCGGTAGAACCATAGGCTAGCATCTCATCGGCCCCCTCTAGCGGTTATAACTACTTTTTGTAATTAAACGAATGTAGTTTGTGTCGTTGCAAAATAATTAGGACACGTCACAAGTGGGCCTGAATGAAAAATGTGATTAGAGAGTGAGGGTGATGTAGGAGTAATCGAATAGACGGGACTTCGGAAGTTCTACATCTCTATAGAAAGTAAATTTTTTATTTTATGTAAGTTAACTTATTCTTTTTTTAGTGTAAATAATTCCGCGCGCGCCCCTTTGAAAACCTTGCGCCCCTAGGCACGTGCTTAGTTTGCCTTAAGGACAATCCACAACTGGATAGATATATTATTGTCTATGGGCCACGGCATTCATTTGTCATCAGGTGGACTGTGTGCTCGTTTGTCACACTTATTCTATAAATAAAATGTTAAACGAAGGTGTTGTGATTGTCCTTGAATGTTGTACTATTTTGTATCTATGTCTGTCTAATTCAGACGTAGACATGTTATGGCGGGTAAGTAGCGAATTTACATTTGTAGAGCAGTAGCGGCTAAAGAAAAAGTGAAGGCCAAGCAATTATTTCAGCAAGAAAAAATATATCTTTTTAAGTTTAGGAAATTTTATTAGCATAAAATTCAGTTCCCTTAGAAAATAATGTTCAATGATAAGTAGGGATAACTTTGACAGATGATTTCATCAAATCGTATGTCTTTAATTTTTCAATATATTTTATGTGATTTTAGTAGAGTGTATTTGAACTCTTCACCTTATTTCGACTCTTGAGTATAGTAATCCTATGGTTTCCTATAGATCTTATCAACTTAACCTACAGTATGGAACAGCGTAAAAGGGGAAAAACGTCGGGTAAAGCGATCGTCAATCCGTTCGCCGATCTTGACGATTAGATAATTTCTCCCTTCAAAAGTAGAAACCCATTCCCATCAGTGGACTATTGTGAACTAGTGGACTGATGAAAAATGAGATAGTGTGTACGTTCATATGCGATAAAAGTTCAGAAAAGAGGCAGAGATAATAAGAAACACTTTATATTCTCGTATTCTATTTCATTCTCTCGCAGGCTAAATCCTATAAATGTACCTATAGGTGTCGCTTTTTTGTTTCAAACTTTCAAATCACATAAATTCTAAAGAAGTATTCACTTCAAAATTACCGGAAAAACTAATTTGGCAATATATTGTAGATGTTCTTAAACATTGATAGAACTTACATTACAAATCTCGGACATAGATTGACCGATGTCCTTTGAGCAGATCATGTAGTTGTCAATTATGTTATGGTAGCGTGAACCCCACCTTCTCTTACATTTCTTTTTCGATATAATTTCAACTGTAGCTTCCAGAAGGTTCTGCTGGTTTTGCTTTCTGCGGTTTACCCACTGTAACACAGTCGTTATAATAAAGTTATTAACTTTCAAAATTAATATATTTTAAAGGTGAAAATGTGAAAAATTATAAAAGTAAACGAAACAAATATTATTATACAAATAAATTAAAAATTAAGAATTTATTGACACGAAAAAATTACATTCTAACAACAAAAAAATATTATAAAATAATTATAACTAGGTATGGTATTTGTTTTTTTGGAAAAACGTTATCTCTACACAATTTTCCTCTGTATCGTGGGGTTTTCATCGTGGGGTAGTTTCTCCATACATAAATTTCACACGGACAAACATCCAGACCCGGAACAATTATTTGCACCATGAGTTGCGGCCCACAGCGCCGCAACTCATGGTTAAGCCACTGCACCACGTAGTCGGTATATGTAGAGCTACGTAGGATTATTGTAGCAATACGAATGGTAGGCTCGACCAGGGAAGGACCTCCGTCGCACAGACTACTAGCGTACAATAGCAGCTTGCTACTGTATTACGTATGCTGAGTGGAGAGAACTGGGGCCCAGAGACAAAGCATCTTTATGTTTTTATCGAGGATAAATACATCAACCCATCATATGAGCTACATCATGCACTTATCATCAACTGGACTGTGAGCTCGTCACTCTTATTTGCTTAAAAATCCAACAAAATTTCAATAAAGATAACTATATAATACATGTTTAATCATCATATACGTCATTATATTTTGAAGTAGTCCCCCATCCTGCTATGGTGACGATTGTGCCGGGATTTTCCAACGTGTGACTCTGGTTGTTATAGCATATTGGCTTTGGAATGAAATCGCATCCCTTGACCCTCCTACCAAAGTCGAAACCTTCCTCGACTTTGACAACTGCAATGTCATTGTTCATCCATCTGATGTTGTCGTTTTCGTGGCCGTCAAACACGTAATCTGGAATGATTGAAGAATTAAAAAAGGGAAGTACGACCGCCGAAGGAATAAATCCGATAGCATATAATATAACATAATACCAGTGAGAGTAGGTGATGACAGCTAGTGTGTCCTAGGGACAGACCACAATTTATTTAACATATAATTCCCTTATTCGCACTATGAGAATTATAGAGCTCAAAATTTTATAGGAAGTGAGGAAACAGAATTCCCGCTGGTACTACTAAAATTGTTAATTGCAATTTTGAAGTACCGATGTGCTTCGTGCCCAGCAGTAATCATCATGAGGAATCTATGAAAATAAAAACATTTCCTAAAACATGCGCGGCTCGCTAATACACATTGCGGTAGCGTGGAGCATTCTTTCCTGATCTAAGACCCCCCTCCCCCTCCCCCCAAGGAATGTAAAGAACGCAGTGAGTTAACGGCTACCACACTGTGTACTATTAATATTGTTGTAATGTATAGTATATTTAATTGTAGGATTGTTTTTTAATTATTTGATAATATTATGAAACTGAATTTTCACATATTTAAAATAAAATTAAAATGTCACATGTAATCACAAGAAAAATGTTTTTGTCTGTTCTTTATTTTCAAAAGTAATAGGTATATATAAAAAGTAATAAATTATAACCATATAATTTATTCGGCAGATGATTTAAAATTACTAAACATTTTTCGTATATTTTACAGAACGCTGGTTGAAATTTGAGTGGTTCAGAGTACGTAAAACCAAAAACAGTCCGATAAAACAAAGGAACAATCACGCTTGACTTGTTTCTTTATTGGCTGGCATGTGAAAACTACCGTATGACGTATTGTACATAAGCGTGTATTGGTGGGTTTTATGTTATTAATACCTAGGATATATAGGTAACAGTGGGTCAAGAAGTGGCATATCAGACGTAGACAAAGTCCATTGCTGAACACAGGCGTTCGTCAGTTGACAAACATTGCTTGGAGTGTTTATCTGTGCTAACCACTAGGCCAACTTGTTTGTGGGCACATGTGATGTGGTAATTCTGGCCCATAAACAGTTTGTCAAATGTTTGTTCAGGATTTTAAGATATCCAGTTATCAGTAGGTCGCCATAACCAAGTGCGTTATTTTTCAGGTGAGGTTATTAATATAAAGACGGACACCATATCTCACTTACTCTTAGGAACACATTTCCAAACAGCTTTCTTTGCTCCATTTTTGATACACCGATTATTGAATCTGTCGTCTTCATCTGAATATCTGGAATTTTAATAAATTTTATATTAAATCATAATAGTCCACTGCTGAACCCGGGCCTAGAGGGATAGAGGGAATCAGAATGTCTGGAATGTATGAAAGTCAGAATGTGTAATGTAATAAAAACACGTATGGTAATTTACAATACTACCTTAATATATGGTAATGAAAGTTGAGTGTGACATGTAAGTAAAAAGCAAGCATGAGAGTAAAATTAATGTTGTAGAAAGAAGATGATGAAAAGTTATGGGTAGCTCTAAATGATAAGGTGAGAAATAAGAAAAGCGTGGTTTGTAAAAATGTTGAGACCAAGTTTAAGAAAACAATACTTTGTTGGTTGGACACGTATGAGTATGAATGAAGGAAGAGTGACAAAGTATATTTATGCTGCAGAAATGAGCGGCGGAGTCAGCAAGGGACGCCCTAGATGGAAGTTTGAGTACCATTTTGACGATATATTGAAGATAGACCAAATTTAGAGTAAGACCTTAAGCGACGATCATGTATGGATGGATATATGTGAATGACGAATCTGTGAGTGACAGCCATGAGAGTTAATATTATTTTATATTTAAGTAGCGACCGTCCCAACTTCACTTAGGTGGGATCTGTCATTTAGATTTTTTTAAATAATCATCAATTACCATTTATTTTATCAATTTATCCATTTTATGATAATGATGATAACTACTCGTATTGCTCTCTATCTGTTTGTAAAGATAAATATGAAGATATACCAGGACAGACAGACAAAATCTTGATAAATTATTATTCATATCTTAATAACGTGCAAAGAGCCGGTACGTAAAGAGCTCAATAAAAGGTAATGTTATTTATTTCATATCGTGTCCTGTGGAACCGTGATGTTGTGTCGTGATCACCATCGTGCTTTTTAACGATGTGACACACGATCTTAAAGTCCATCTGATTAAGTACCCGGTAAGGGGCTACTGCAGTTCATGGACAGACACCTGCAGCCAACATTAAACAAAGAAGGTTAATCAACCATTAATTTTTTTTTCTTATGAAAAAAACGTTACCTCCACCTAGCATTTTCGCCTGTATCGTGGGATGGACAAACATCCCGACCCGGAACAATTATTTGTAGGCCGTATAAATAGTTATTCCATGCGCGAATCGAACAAGCGACTATTAGCGCATTATTCTGCATTCTTTTTAAATTTTTTTTATAGGGTGGGGTGACAAACGAGCACACAGTATCTTCGTTTGCGAATCAAAATTCAGATGCGTTGTCACCCGTGAGGACTAAGATGGAATGCCTCTTTTCCAGTAAAAAGGGTCACCGTTTCTTTACACGAAACACAGCAGTGTTAAGCTGCTATTTTACGCTGGTGTTCTGTGAGAGCGTGGCCCTTCCCCGGTCGAGCCGCCCCATTCGTGCTACAACTATACTACTAATATAGCTGCAGCATGGCTCTACCACGTATAAACTTACTCATAGACTTTCTTACCGTTATGAAGTTGCCACTTGAGAACCTGTTTTCCCCATCAATTGGTTCCTCGAGCTATGTTGCTAGTCCCCAGCTTACTGAACTGTTTGACTATTTCGGTTACACTGAACGGATTGGAAGTAATCGATATGGTAAAAATTTGTCAAGAGGACTTAACTTTCCATTAGAGTACAAACGGATCGGCTCAACCGGGGAAGGCCCACGCTAGTACATAATGGGGCCTATACACCATCGGCCATGATGGATGAATTTTAGCGATCACGATCGTGTAGAGGGGATAATCGCCTATAACTGCCCATGGTCGGTGATGATCATGGGCAGTTATAGGCGATGGTTTTACGTGGTAGAGCCATGCTGCAGCTATATTAGTAGTATAGTTGTAGCATGAATGGGTCGGCTGGACCGGGGAAGGACCACGCTCTCACAGAATACCAGCGTAAAATAGCAGCTTAACGCTGTTGTGTTTCGTATGGTGAGTGTAGAGAACCGGAGACCATTTTTACTGGAAAAAAGGCATTCCATCTTAGTCCTCACGGGTGACAACGCATCTGCATTTTAATTCGCATAAATTCGAGGATAAATGTAGATGTCTAAAGGCCACAGCAACATCTTACTTTACTTACCATCAGGTGGACTGTGTGCTCGTTTGTCACCCATTCCTATAAAAAAATGGCCGTTGTGTCGGTTTTTCGGACAAACATCAAAGGAAGTTCGGCCATGATCGTGCGCACGTCTATGTATGTAGATGATCGCCGAACGCCGATGCTCTATAAACTTACCTTGTTCTATTTCGGTGTATAGTTAACATACACCGATATAGAACAACTTTCTTTTTTTTTCACCACACAGTTATGGTCTTCATTTTAATAATAGTTATATTATAAACTAATTAAATAAATAGCGGCAGCTGCTACTTTTTCAACGTCCATCTCGGACAAATGACAATGCAAATATGTAGGATGCACGATTGTGTGGGCAGCCGCACAATGATTGTGACAATCATGGCCCATTCTGTGGTTGTCAGTCATGGCCGATGGTGTTTAGGCGAGGTAATACAGCGTGTAATAGCAGCATAATATTGCTATGTTTTGTATATTGAGTAACGTGAACCGGAGACCACTAGTAAGACGGCATATTCTCGAGGGTGACACAACGCATTTGCATCGATTCATAATCGAGGACCCGAATTTATCTATAGGTGTCTATGGGTCACAGTATTCACCCAAGTGATTTGATTTTGTTTTAGAATTTTTTGATTATTTAGTTTTACAAAGTGAAGTGGATTTTTAGCTTGTTTGTCACTTTGTAGTTTGAAATTAAAAAAAAAAGATTAAGCTCACTTATAAGTCCCGGAAACCACGTAGAAATGTTCAGCGTCCTGAATACAAGCAGCCGACGTCAAAATATACTCTTCGTGGACGATCACTCCGCCGCACAACCAAGTGCGGTAGTTGGTCTTCTTTTTGTTGTTTCGAGGCATTTTAAGGTATACCTAAAATTATTTAATATGTAAAATACTAATTAAATATTTACAATGTAATCTTAAATATCAAGTATTAGCCTACATGGGCCCCACTGTTTGGCTCAGGATTCTTCCAATGTTCGAGAAATGTTAACAGAAAACTTCGACTCGCTATATCAGTACGAATTAGCAGACTTTATATGTCCACAGAATATTGTTAACTAGCTTCTTCCCGCGACTTCGTCAGAAAACAGAAAAGTTTTCATGTTAATTTTGAAACGCGACACCCCGGGTTTACCCGGCAGTGCGCCAGGGAAAATCCCTGTTTACTCGTGTACTTACATTTTGTGTTTAATTGCATTTCTAACTTATATAAATGTCTGTAGTAGTTCAAAACACACACACATCCACACAGTCACACCTCACCCTACTGGTGGTGATATTATATGCTTACATATTTTTGACACAGTTGGTGCACGGGTACTGTCGTTTGATTTTTTCTCCTAGTAACTTTATTCTTTTTTGTTTATAGGATATGGGGCAAACGAGCATGCGGCTCACCTGATGGTAAGTGACTACCGCCGCCCATGAACAACTGCAACACCAGGGGAATCGCAGATGCGTTGCCGGCCTTTTAAAAAGGAGTAGGCTCTTTTTTTCTTGAAGGTCCCTAACTCGTATCGGTCCGGAAAAATCGCTGGTTGTAATCGATTCCACAAGGAAGTTGTGCGAGGAAGAAAACTTCTTCTAAATCGCACAGTGGTGGACCACCAATCATCCAGATGATATGGATGGTATCGTGAGTTTTGTCGCGATGTGCGATGGTGAAATTGAGCGGCTGAAATTAGTTCGAACAATTCCTCAGAGCACTCCCGGTGATAGATGCGATAAAATACGCAAAAAGATGCAACATCTCTACGCAGTGCCAGTGAGTCAAGCCGATCGGAAAGAACTCGGTCGTTGACGATTCGAGCACCTTCTCTGTCTAGAACTTAATCTGGGTAGATACCATCTTCTTACCTATTTCTGCCGCCAAACAGCAGTGCTTGGAACGCTGTGTTTCGATCCATTATATAGTGTATTGAGAGCCAGTACAATTACAGGCGGTGAAGAATTCCATCATAGTCTTCAAGGGTGACAAAGTATCTGTAGCATTCTTTGTTTCAATCACGTGGACTTCGTTCATCACTTCAGTTTTATAAAGAAAAACCCCCAGTCAATAGGCATACATATAAATATAGAGCCGTGGTAGCTTAGACGGTTAGCGCCCGCTGTAAATTTCACAGTACGCGAGCAACTCGGGTTCGATCCCCGCCGGCACCAATGAAATTGTTAATTGTAATTTTAAATGCTGATTTACCGCGTGCTCCTTTAGCTGCATGTTTGAGAAATAAGAAAAAAAAGTATTTCGCAGACATGTGAAGTTCGCCAACACGCATTGGGCCAGCGCGGCGGACATTTCCTTGCCCTAAAACTCTCTCAGAAATGAGAGGAGGCCTGTGCTCAGCAGTGGGACGTATATAGGCTGTAACTTTAACTTTTTTAACATTTAAATAGGCATACTAGTCCCATCCATAATGGACAATATTTTAAACAAGTCATTTTTTTTTTCTAAATCCATTTAGCTGTTTGACCGCAGTTAAATAACATACTATAAACATAGATTTCTTAATGCAGATTCTCTTTACGATTTATGCCTTAGCTGTCCGATACGTGGTTAATCGTAGTGGTGTAGAAATCGAGTTTAGATTTTTTTTGTAGTCTTAGCAGCTTAAGTCCACTGCAACATAGGCCTCCCCATAGATTGTCTCAAAGGGGGATATATAGCTAACCGCTACTGCCTATCTCCTAATTTGTTTACCTCTGTCCTCTTACGATACCCACGGGACGTATGAGATAGTAGTGGATATTCTTACATCGCCACTACACGGTCATGCTCCCACCGCTCTGCATTATACTTAAAGAGTTTACATATTACCATATATGGTCTTCCATCTGTTACTTCAACACCTTCGATAATTCTTCGAGTGCCATTTAGCAATCTCTCAACTTTTTCGGGTAATTGCGTCACTACGTCTATGCTATCTACACCTAGAACTAATTTAAATAAATTATATTTTAAGTTTTGACGATATTCATAACGAGTTAATAATAAAAAATACCTAATAAGTATTTAACTAATATTGTTTTATAAAAAAGTGATATCATATTGTTATTTTCAATATTTGGGATGTTGTTAACGGTTATTTTAATATAAACAATTATTTTTTATCAAACCTTGGTAACCGATCAAGGCTTAATAAAAAATAATTGTTAATTTAACGCCATGAACACGGCACGACTCATACATGATTTTAATTATACAAGAAATTTAAAAGCTCCTGGAGAAATAATTAAGTAACTTTTGTTATTATTGTACATATATTGTTTACTTATTGTTTCATCACTATTGTCATCATCTTCATTAGAACCTACTAATGCTGAACCAAAGTCCAAAATTCCTTAAAGCGTGGAAACTATGGTAATATCCTACATATTACCATAGTCGTCACACTTGGCAATCGCAGATTTTTATCACTTTAAGTTGTTTCCAGGAAGATGCTGCTGTCTTTCCTCCCTTTTTTAGTTTAACTCTATCACTTACGATACCCACAGGATGATAGAGAGTAGGAGATTGTCCAACTACTACACGGCGACTTATAAATGGCAAAATTAAAGGAAACAATTTTAGTTAGTCCTTATCATAGGAGTTATCTTAATCCAGTCAGTATAATTGCAGGCTTTCTGTTTTAGAGGTCCCTAAATTTAGATTAGCCAAAACTTCTTTTTTGAATAAATATATAAAATTTTACAGTAAAATTTCTAAAAATGTAGTGCACAGGATAATTATTTTTTTAAATCTTTTGATAGGTTCCCACGGGGACACGGGGGCCTCTTTTACTACTTTAATGTTAATGATTTCTTATATTTACGCGAACACTACACATTTGAATAAAAATAGTTTTTACGGATTTTATCGCGTATATTAACTTATTTTATATTCTTGACGTTTCGAGCACTTTACAGCACCCATGGTCGCGGGTGGGGGGGGGGGGGGTGGACTGAGGTGTTTGATGTCACAATGTCATAGTTAACCACAGCTACCTCCAGATTAAAATTATTAATTTTTATAGTGTCTTGAAGTCTTGCAGTTGCATGCTTAAGTTGCGATTCAATTTTATTAATTATAGAATCCCAAGCAGATGGTAGCACTCAGCCATCTTCACTATTGAAATTAGGATGTTTTTTGATTTCAATAGCCTCGCGATGGAAGGAATCGGTGTTCTTTAGCGAGGATTTGTGGTCTATCAAATCTAATGTAGTGACGGGGTTGATCCTATACGTGTTTCCCAGACTGCAGACTTCGTGGAGCGTCTATTCTTCACATCAGTTGTGTGTTCCCTAACGGGAGTTTTTATTGATCATTTAGTTTTTTAGCGCTGTAAAGTGCTCGAAACTTCGGGAACATAAAATAAGTATATAACATAAAATAATATAAAACAATACCTCTAAATGATATATGAATGATGTTGTCCCACCAATCTTGTAAAAATAGCTTATTCGTAACTTCCTTGACATCAGCTCATGGGTAAGGCGTTTCAGAGGACAATACCCTGAACTATGAAGGAAGAATTAAAAAAAAATTTATATGTTCTGGAATACTAACTGTGAGTTAGAAGGACGAGGTTCACGGCCGGAAATATAGTAGAGAAAGTTGAAGTTTTCTTCTTCTTAAGATATGACGGAGAATTAGCATCATTTAAGATGGAAATAAAATTCTGGAGCAACGTCTTTGACGTATAGTGAGCCATTTAAGCTAAGAACGATTTATCTTAGTTCTCACATGTGGAAACGCACCTATGTTTTGATTTGTAATCGAGGATAGATGTAGGTGTTTATGGGCAATCGCATCCAATTACCATCGGGTGGACAGTGTGTTTGTTTTTCTCCTTTATTCTATAAAAAATGGGGTCAAATTCTGGGAGGTTAGCCTCCAAAAACTCCCGAATAAGGTCTTTCCAAGATAAGAAATTTAATTGCAAATTATGTACGATTTTTGCATTGCTTATGATAATGATGATGATTTTTTTCCAATATTTTTACTCCAACTAACTGCCGAGTACCAGTTTGAAGGGCGAGAGAGATTAAATATTTTTCCCCTTTTTTCTTTAACAAACATCCCTCCCACAATATGATTTTCTCTTGATGCAGCCGGATTACACCACATTGCACAAAATACACATCCATAACCGGCACAATTATTAGCTCATATGAACACATGTTTTCATGTGAAAGTAGCGAAGCGCTGCGATCCTAGTCAAACGTTGTCTTTCAGAGGCCATCAAATACTTACAGGTAAGAGGTCTTTCAGTCCTCTGGGGTAACAACGCATCTATGGCTTTCTTTCTGTTGGACTGGTCTGTTCTAGTGGACAGATCACTTTCCCATTACTTCAATGACATGAAATAAATCGTATGAAATCGTCAAACATTAATTCATGTTTTAACATTTAAACTCATAACATGAATTGTTTTGACGGAGTAACAACAGTGAATATGCTTTTGTTGTGCTAAGATAGTGTGCTTTACTGTCCATGGTTTCATCACCAAGCACTTTTTTTATAGAATAAGGGTGTGAAACGAGCACACAGTCCACCTGATGGTAAGTGGATGATGTGTCCCATAGACATCTACATTTATCCTCGATTAAGAATCAGAATGCAGATACGTTGTCACCCCTGAGGACTAAGATGGAGTACCTCGTTTCCAGTAAAAAGGGTCTCCGGTTCTCTACACTCACCATACGAAACACAGCAGCATTAAGCTGCTATTTTACTCTTTTCGAGGTCTCGAAGTTCGGAGAGGCGGAAACGGACGCGTGGTCCCACGCCGGTCGAGCCGAACCATTCGTGCTACAACCATAATATAGCTGCAGCATGGCTGTATCACGTAAAAAAAAATTTAATAAGTGCTTTGCTTTTAATAAGTGAAATAAGACATGCATTATGAGGAAAATGGTGATTCCGTATGCTTACCGACGAGGGATTATTTGAAATAACTTAAGGAGTGTTCACAGAGCAAGATATACCATTTACCATTATAATTATCGTAAACTCAATAGTATTTACTAATCATCTGTTTATCTCAAATAAAGAAGACAAAATTAATTTTCTATGAGCCGCGTGTAGAAATTTAATGATGTGTACCTAGTTGAATCAGTACCCTAAAATCGCGTGCGTCAATGTCAAGACGAAGCCCAACAGCACTACGCGAAACACCGCAAACTAACTACTGCGTTATGTAAACGGTAAAAGACATGTAAAAGTAAAACTAAAAAAGATAAAGTTACAGCGCATCTACGTCCTACCATAGACTTAGAATATACTTACGCCAGTATATTCTAAGTCATATAGACATAGACGATGATAGACAGCATAGGCACACATACATAGAAGAACTATTTGGGTGCTATCTAATACGAGTAGTGTTATGAAACATGAAGTCCGCTACGCTTTTCCAATACAAGTTAACGGACTTCACAGGTCTTCGAAACATTTTCGTCATCGGCTCGTTGAATTTTGCTGACTTTGTTATTTATAATAGAAAATGTTTAGCGATGATTAAGATACTTCATTTCACTACTAACACGAACTCGTGGGGCTACGGTCGTTGCATTTACTAAAGTTACGACGTACGTACGAGTATAGCCTAAATATTATATTCCACTACAAAGTAAAGGCCTTTTAGTATCCACCAACCTTTTACATATTTCAGCCACTAAGCTACAGTGCATCCATTGTTTTGTTCTGGTTTTAATTGTGTGTACAGCATGTTCATCTAGACTATGAGCTTGTAGCATGGGGAAATGTTTGCCATAGGTGCCACGTTGAAGCTATATTATGGTTGTAGCGCGAATGAGTCGGTTCGACCGAGATAGAACCATGTTCTCACAGAATACCAGCGTAAAATAGCAGCTTAATGCTGCTGTGTTTCGTATGGTGAGTGTAGAGAACATGAGACACTTTTTACTGGAAACGAGGTATTCCATCTTAGTAGTTCTCAGGGGTGAAAACGCATCTGCATTTTAATTTTTAATCGAGGATAGATGTAGATGTCAATGGGCCACAGTATTCACTTACCATCAGGTGGACTGACTCGTTTTCTATGAAAAATGGGTTGAAGAAGTGACAAAGAAGAAAAGGTTTTTTTATGGCTGCTTCCTACCGGTAAGTGCTAGTTAGAATTTATTTTTTATGGGAAAGGGGGAAAACGAGCATGCGGCTCACCTAATGGTAAGTGACTACCGCCGCCCATGAACAACTGCAACACCAGGGTAATTTCAGATGCGTTGCCGGCCTTTTAAAAAGGAGTAGGCTCTTTTCTTGAAGGTCCCTAAGTCGTATCGGTCCGAAAAAATCGCTGGTGGTAATCGATCTCACAAGGAAGTTGTGCGAGGAAGAAAACATCTTCTAAATCGCACAGTGGTGGGCCGCCAATCATCCAGATGGTATGGATGGCATCGCGAGTTATGTCGCGATGTGCGACAAAACAAATGACAACCTACCAAGTCGAGCAAGACGCCTTTTGTGGCAATCTTTGTGAAAGACGACCCAGCAGCGATCGTGTAATGACGATGCTGTTGATTAAATAAATTAAAATCTATACAAAATAATAAACTAAAAATAAGGCTGCGACGATTTACTATCCAAGGTCAAGATCAGGGAAGAAATTTCGTTACGCCTACTTTTATTAGAAATTGTTTTATACCAACGACTAAGGGTTGATATTTTAATAAAATTAATTTATAAATAAATTATAACCTGACCAAAAATAAAAGTCAAACAGTTGAAATATTTTACAACTGTAATGTTTAATTTACCACCATCGAATATAGGCGTACGGCCAATCGTCTTCAACGAGAAGTCCGTTTCCGCCTCTCCGAACTTCGGGACCTCGAAAAGAGTAAGCTCATGGAGAATATCTCTCCCTCTCATACAGCGTACTATCAGATGGCAAGAGCCCTCCGCATAGACGCTATCACCCACACTCCTCCTCTCTCCCGTCCCGACGGCACGGTTGCCTTCGGGGACGAGGAAAAGGCTGAGTGCTTTGCAGACCGCATTTCCGCACAATGCTCTCCTAGCTCTCAACTCATCGACCCCTCACGCACCCAGGCAGTGGAGGATGAGGTCTGCCGCCGGAACTCACCCTCTACAGCCTCTGACCCTATCACTGTGTCCAATGATGAGATTTCATCCCTCATCAAAGGACTTAAGCCCAAAAAGTCTCCGGGCGCAGATGGCATCTCCAACCAAGCTCTTAAACACTTTCCTGAGCAGGTGTTAACCTTTTAAACTATTATCTTCAATGCCTGCTTCAATCTTAGTTACTTTCCCACTACGTGGAAAGAGGCAACTGTCATTGGTATCCCCAAGCTAAGAAAGCCTCTCAACCTCCCCTCCAGTCATCGTCCCATTAGCCTCCTCAAGGCCATGGGCAAACTCTTCGAAAGAGTCATCCTCACTCGCATGAGGCTCCATCTGTTTCCTACAGACGGTGACCCTCTTGTCATCCCCCATCAATTTGGTTTCCGAGCGAAACATTCTTGTCTCCAACAAGTTCACCGTATTGTGGAATATATCCTCAGCGGTTTTTATCCTCGTCGTCTTAAGACCATCGCGGTCTTTTTCGACATAGCCAAAGCATTTGATAGAGTCTGGCACGAAGGCCTTATCTACAAACTATATAGAATAGGTCTCCCCGATCGTCTAGTACGTCTCGTAGCCTCTTACCTGCAGCATCGTACCTTTCGTTTTAGACACGAAGGCACTCTCTCCTTTCACACCCAATCAAAGCTGGTCTCCCTCAGGGCTCAGTACTTGCTCTTCTCCTGTACATCCTGTTCACCAACGACGTTCCCATCCCGTCGAAAGGTGTCCAGCTCTCCCTCTTCGCAGACGGCACTACCCTCTATTGGAAAGGTACCTCCGCTACCTTTCATACGGAACAAGATCCAAAAGTCAGTTGATGACCTGGGAGCTTGGTTCCAAAAATGGCGCTTCGATGTGAACCCGGAGAAGAACTCCGCCGTTCACTTCGATTATAAACGACGCCGTATAAATAATACTCCACCAATACGTATGTTAGGGATCCCTGTCCCCTGGCATACGTCTGCTAAATATTTAGGTGTCACCCTTGACACGAGGCTCACTTTCGAGCCCCATGTCAAAAGAGTAACCCGTCTAGCACGTTTTTATCTAAGTAGGCTCAACAGTATGTTGGGCCGACACAGTAAAATGTCCCTCAGAAACAGCGAACCCTTTATAAGGTCTGTATACAACCAGTCATGTCTTACGCGGGCCCTATATTCGCTCACGCTGACCCCAAAGTCATAAATGAACTCCACATAGTTCAAAACCTCTTTTGTCGTCGAGCTACGAACGCACCCTGGTACGTCCGTAACGCCGACCTCCAGACTTAGAGCTCCCTACAATCCAACAATTTCTAAAAACACTTTCTGAGAACTCCTTCTCTCGCTATCGAGTCCGCAGGCCGAGAAACTCCCTCTCCGACCCGCCTAATAAACTTTCAACCGACCTGAACTGCCTCCTGGCGGCTCAGGCCGACTCTTCTTAAATTTACTTTAGTAGGCTCTCCCTCAGCCGCCTGCGCCCTCTTTTCCCAAAAGAGGGTCGCTTCCGATTCGGCAGAGAGGACTCAAAGGCCACTGCCCATCCCCTATAGGTGGTTTTTAGTGGGTAACACTTAGGGGTTAGGATAGTTAGGCACAGTGAGTCCCACATAACCACGATAGACCGGCTGTCGTGGTATGCATAAAGCATTTACCACCTCCTCGCGTAACGGGGTAGCCCTTTTCAATTGCTTCTGGGTGCAAAAAAAATTAATTTGTCTATGTTTTATTTTACTGCATGAATAACTTATATTTGTTGCAAAATCTATTTTCTTACTACTTAATTTGAAAATGGGAATATTCTGTATTCCATTTTTACGACTTACCCATCAGGATGGTCCATCCAATTGAATATTTGTCTTTGTGAAATTTATGTATGTAAACTGGCTCCACGATACAGGAGAATATTAAAAAAAAATCTTTTACGACACCCACGAGACGAAATTGGGTGGTGGGAGAAAAAGAAACAAATAAGGAAAAGTAAGATATTTTATTTTTCGTTTATTTTTATCTAGCTCTTTTTCTTGCTTGGTTTTTTGACTCTGGGCTTTGAATTCTTCTCGGATTTAGCTGGCCTGAAAAAAATAGCGAGGGCTTAAATGGGAAGATAAGAATGTTGACCGCCTAATGGCAGTAAAACCTTCCAAAACTGTATAACCCATATCTCACAAAAACATGTTAGTAAGTACACGCCACCTGATTAACGTAGTTAATATGGGTATAGCACTCAAGAAATGGGTACCAGAAATGTGTAATTTTTTTATAGGAGAGGGGGCAAACGAGCATACGGCGCACCTGATGGTAAATGACTACCGCCACCCATTAACAACTGCAATGCCAGGGGAATTGCAGATGCGTTGCCGGCCTTTTAAAAAGGAGTAGGCTCTTTTCTTGAAGGTCCATACGTCGGTAAGGAAAAATCGCTGATGGTAATCGATTCCACAAGGAAGTTGTGCGAGGAAGAAAACATCTTCTAAATCGCACAGTGGTGGACCGCCAATCATCCACATGGTATGGATGGTATCGCGAGTTTTGTCGCGGTGTTCGATGGTGAAATTGAGCGGCTGGAATTAAATCGAACAATTTCTCAGAGTATTCCCCCTGGTAGATGCGATAAAATACGCAAAGAGATACAACATCTCTACGCAGTGCCAGTGAGTCAAGCTGATCGGACAGAACTCGCTCGTCGACGATTCGAACCGCTCTACCCTGGATGCGGTCAAGGGGAAGGAGCTGGCACTGGGGAGCCGCTGCCCAGAGGTGGGAACAGTATTCCATGTTAGGCCGAACCTGCTCCTTGTAAAGTTTCAAGCGGTGTGCCGGCATGAAATACTGTCCCGCTTGGCGTATTAGAGGCCAAGTTGGAAACACCGCTGTTTTGTGGAGGAATTTAAAAAAGAACTTTTGTAGCGACACACACATACGCAGATACTAATTGCTAACGCCATGTGGTAGGTAGATCAAAGCTGCATCTGTATTATGATTGTAACACGAATGGGTCGGCTCGACCTGAGTAAGACCACGCTCTCGCATAATACTAATATAAAATAGCAGTTTAAGGCTGCTCTGTTTCGTATGGAGACCCTTTTTACTGCAAATTGTATGTCTGATGGAATGCCTCATCTCAATCCTCAGGGGTGACAACGCATTTGCATTTTGATTCTTAATTGAGCATAAAGGTAGATGTCTATAGGCCACAACATTCAGTTACCATCAGGTGGACTGTGTGCTCATTTGTCACCCTTATTCTATAAAATAAAACACTGACAGTGTAGTTAGTTCACTCTACTATTATCGTATATCGTATAGGTAGAGCCATGCTGCAGCTATATTAGTAGTATATTTGTAGCACGAATGGGTCGGCTCGAATTTAACAATGACTTTATGATCTACTAATGTGGCGTTGTTAACACTTAAGACAATTAAGGACCATTTACTTCTTAATTTCTTTTAAATGTTCCAGTCGCCTAGATCACTGCTGGCACTGCCCTACAATTGGTCCAGAGTCCAGACATTTGACAGACAGACAGAAAAAAAAAATTAATAATGTCTTAGTAGCATGCAAATAGCCCTTTGAGTTTTATAGAAGCCAGTTATTTCAATATATGAATTTCATTTTGTACGTGGTAAAGCCATGCTGCAGCTCTAATAGTAGTATAGTTGTAGCGCGAATGGGTCGGCTCGACCGGGAAAGGACCACGCTCTCACAGAATACCAGCGTCAAATAGCAGCTTCACATTGCTGTGTTTCATATGGTGAGTGTAGAGAACTGGAGACCCTTTTTTACTGGAAACGAGGCATTCCATCTTAGTCCTCATGGGTGGCAACGCATCTGTATTTTGATTCGCAAACGAAGATAAATGTAGATGTCTATAGGACACAGCAACCACTTACCATCAGGTGGATTGTGTGCTCGTTTGTCACCCTATACTATAAAAAAAATCTGCTCGGTCTAGATAATTAGATATACTATATATTATATTATCTTTGTTTGAGCTTTGTAACCGTGTGCCTGAAGAATCAATATAATCAAGTATAATTTAATCCGCTGTTTTCTTTATGGTCCCATTAACTAGAGAAAAAAGCAAGCATATATTTATGTAAGCGTTGAGAAGCAAAAAGAAAAATTAACATTTTTTATTTCTTTAATGTCATCAGCCAGTATAAGTCAGAACATGGACCTCTTCCCATGTAGGGAGTATTTGCCTAAATCGTGATGCCCGACAGCCATTGATGATCGCAACACCAAAGGTTTCGCACTTGCACCTTTAACGCCACTGCCCGTCCCCGCACTAGATATTTATCGTCTGACGTAAAATTGATTACTTTATTTCTGGCATTTACCTGTGCAATGCCAATACCAACGCACTAGTAATGTACTCTTGTCTGTGGAACCGGGGTTACACATTCTTAAATAACCGTTTGTCGATCGGCGAAGACTTGCGAAGACTTTTTACGTGATAGAGCCATGCTGCAGCTATATTAGTAGTATAGTTATAGCACAAATGGGTCGGCTCGACCGGGAAAGGACCACGCTCTCACAGAATACCAGCGTAAAATGGCAGCTTGATACTGCTGTTTCGTATGATGAGTGTAGAGAACCGGAAACCCATTTTACTGGAAAAGAGGCATTCCATTTTAGTCCTCACGGGTGACGACGCATCTGAATTTTGATTCCTTATTGAGGATAAATGTAGATATCTATCATCATCATCATTCATCATTACAGCCCTTCACAAGTCCACTGCTGAACATAGGCCTCCCCCAAAGAATGCCACAAAACACGGTCCTGAGCCACCTGCATCCATCGACTTCCTGCATGTCTTACCAGGTCGTCACTCCATCTCGTGGGGGGACGCCCTACACTTCGCCTACCGGTACGAGGCTGCCACTCGAGAACCTTTCTTCCCCATAGGTTGTCGGTTCTTCGAGCTATATGGCCGGCCCACTGCCACTTCAGCTTACTAATCCGTTGGGCTATGTCGGTCACTCTAGTTCTACTGCGGATATCCTCATTCCTAAGTTTATCACGCAGAGAAACTCCGAGCATAGTCCTCTCCATAGCTCGCTGAGCGACCTTGAGCTTCCTCATACGGCCAGCAGTGAAGGACCACGTCTCAGTTCCGTAAGTCATCACTGGCAACACGCACTGGTTGTACAATTTCGTTTTAAGGTTTTGAGGTATGTCTGACGAGAAGATGTGTCGTAGCTTCCCGAACGCTGCCCAGCCGAGTTGAATCCGTCTATTGACCTCTCGGTCGAAGTTGGACTTACCTAGTCGGACTATTTGTCCCAGGTAAACATACTCGTCAACAACTTCGAGCTTAGTGCTCCCATAAGCTACCGGCATAGGTGTGACATGGACATTAAACATGATCTTTGTTTTGTCCATGTTCATCTTAAGACCTATTCGTTGGGAAACAC